CTCCTCAAATAGGGTGGCCTTCTTTATTGTTTATGACATCTGTGGTACACAACTCTTTCATCACTAATGATGCTGCTCTTTAATCAGCTCTTCTTTTGAAACCCTTAAGACCAGATTTTTAAAATATTAGTCTCCAGAGTCTAGATATCAATTGACTCAGAAGACAAATTTAGAAAAATAGAATTAACCCGAGTAGATACATAGAGTAAATATGGAAAAATGCTAATCACTTGCACTAATATTTTAAGCTATTGGCCAGTAACTATATTTGAGAGTTGAAGAAATTACATAAGGTCTACACGAGTTAAATAAAATGAACAAAGGGTTGTAGTGATGGCTCAATAGTTAAGAACACTGGCTGCTCTTGCAGAAGACCCAGGTTTGGTTTCCAGCACTCACTTGGCAGCTAACAACCATCTGTAACTTCTGTTCCAGGGCAATCCATCACTGTCTTCTGACCACCATAGGCATTGTACAACATGGGTACATTTACGTGCATTCTGACAATACACTCATACACATAAAATAAAAATTAATTAATTAATTAATTAAATAAATAATAAATAAATAAATAAATAAATAAAATATTTGGGGTTGGAGAGATGGTTCAGTGGTTAAGAGCACTGGCTGTTCTTGCAGTGGACTTAGGTTCGGTTCCCAGTACCCACATGGCTGCTAACAACTGTCTGTAACTCCAGTTCTAGGGGCTCCGACACCCTCTTCTGATCTCCGTGGGCATTGCATAACATGAATGCACTAACATACATGTAGGCAATACATTCATACATATAAAATAAAAATTAAAAATAAAATACTTTTAAATAAAATAAAATGAACAAAATAGCTATACCCATTAACCATCATATGTATTATCTTGTTAAGTCTTTTATTTGTCAAACATGATTTTTTTCCTTTCAGAAGATATATCTCAAAATGCTAACACATTTTTTTGGTATCATCTATTATTCATCAGTTCTTCACACAGCAAATGTGACTTGGCTAATTCTAGATCAATTTGACTGTTGCAAAAGTGACACAACCATATGAAACATTAACTAGGTTTGTCATTCTTGAATATGACATTTTTGATGCATTTAATCTGGGAGTGATGTTCATTATTTCACATTTTTAAGCAAAACAGATTCTTAAGGCACAAATTTGCATGACTCAAATTTGTGTAAAATTCAATTTACTATATTTGCTGTATGGGGAATCTAGGGATAAGTCATGATCTTGTGATTTGTAGTTTGTGGGATTGTATCATGACACAATGACAGCTTCATTACTAGGTGAATGGAATTTTTCAGATTCATTTTAATCTTGGGGAGCCACCATTGTATGCAGGTTGTCCTTGACTCTAACATCAGTACATAATACATGACTCTACTATATTCGTTATTGTCAAATGAAACATATTCTTAGCTAATTCTGTACCTCCCATATCAATAAAAAGGTAGTAATGTTGCATGATTTAGTGACTCTTCGGAGTCAATATTGGTCAAATAAACCTCTTGTCTCTACAGTTCTCTGTTACTATTTATTTAATATAAGTCTATAACATCATTAATAAAGCTAAATTATCAATAACATCACTATGAATTCTGGCTTCTGATGACTGTCTTCAGTGTTATTGCTATGTTTCTTGATAGAATCATAGATGCAAGTCTCTGGTCATGTGGCATCTACTATTCAGATTTCCTTATCATAAGCATAGAATGATATATTTTCCATGTTTTCTTCTACACTCTGAGTCTGTAATTATTGCCTTGCTATACGGTATTCTGTTTTAATGGTCACTATACCTCTGCCTTACACAGTCACCATAAGGGAGATTAGATAAGGGCCTGCAGTGAAGAAAAGTGATCATATTTCTGCAAAACATATTTGGCAAGGGTTAATACCAACCCTGGGGGCTGGAGAGATAGCTCAGTGGTTAAGAGCTTTGGCTGCTGTTGCAGAGGACCCTGGTTTGAATCCCAGCACCTACATGGTGGCTAACAACCATTCATAACTCGAAGCCCAGGGGATCCAATGCCTTCTTCTGGTTTCCACAGGTACTGCATGACATAGATTCACTTAAATACATGCAAGTATAACATACACATAAAATTAAAAATTTTTTAATTGAAAAGAACAGGAGCTGTAGAGATGTGTCATTGTGTCATAGCACTGGTTGCTCATGCAGAGGACCCAGGTTCCATTCCCAGCACCCACAGGGTGGCTAACAGCTGTCCATAACTCCAATTCCAGGGGACTCCAACGCCATCTTCTGACCCCCACAGGCATTGCATGACATGGACACACTTACATACCTATAGGCAATACACTCTTACACAAAAAATAAAAATAATAAATTTTTTAAAAAAACATTTTTAAAAAAATTTAAAAGACCAACCCCAGGTAACATAATGCCACCATACTGATGAAGGTAAGACAGGACCCACTACAAGGGCCAAAGGGCATGGCAGAGCAATAGTCTCTGTGCTGGATGGGTTGTCAACTTGACACACTTGGAAAGAGGGAACTTCAACTGAAGAGCTTCCTCCAACTAATTGGCCTGTGGCACATCTTAAGGGATGTTTTTGATTGTTGAGTGATGTGAGAGGGCCCAGCTCACTGTGGGTTGTGCCAACTTTGGACAGGTGGTCCTGGGTTACATAAGAAAGTAGGTTTAACACAGGCCAAAGGAGCAAGCCAGTAAGCAGGTTACCTCTAGTCCATGCTTCACTTCCTGAACATAAGTTCCTGTCCTGTGATCCTCAAGGATGAACTGTGATTGGGATGTGTAAGCCAAATAAACCCTTTCCTCCCCAAGTTGTTTTTGGTCAGAGTGTTTTATCACAGCAATAGAGAAGCCAAACTAAAACAAATTGGTATCAGAATCATGGGGTATTTCTGTGAATGACCTAACCATGTTGTTTTGGGGAAACTGTGGAAGCATTTGAAACATTGAACTGGAAAAGTCATTGAATCTTCAGAGCTTAATGGGCTGCTCTTTGGGAGCTCGGAAAAAAAACAATGAGAGAAATGGAGATGATGGAGGCTTGGCTTGTGCAGTTTCAGAGAGAAGTTTAAGAGTCCCTCAAAGACTCTCCTGGGGTAGTTTGTGAGGTATTATATATTAAGAATCTGTGGAAGTGAAGCCTTTTGTACTTTGCTGGCACAATGGATACTTGTCAGCTGGGGCTGGAAAAAAAAGACCAGCATCACTGAGGTGAAATTTTCTGGGAAGTATTTCTTCAGGGTCACCACATAGAAGCAGTGGTTCAGAAGGGGCTGGCAGCCAAGCTTGGCAAAGTATGAGTCTCCCACGTGGTACTATTTTTGATTCATGAAGGAATCATGGAGAGAAACTGAGACTTGGGACCCTGAAAGGTCAGGAGAGGCCATTAGTGGAGCTGCAGCCTCAGTTACAGCGGAGACCACAGAATATTAGAGATGCCAGAATCATAGGGCAACTCCAAAAGCGGCAGTAGGTGTAGAGTAGAGCTGGCCTGAGCATACAAGACAAGCTGTGTGTGCTATGGATGGCAGAGAAGTTGGAGCTGTCTAAGCCCTTTGGAGCCCAGAAGATTGTTGAGTGAACCCCAGATGTCAGGCACTGAGCTATTTACATTGTTTGATTTGGATTTTGCTTTGATCTGATTTTCTCTGGTTCTTCCCTCTTGGAATAAGAAACATTTAAGAGACTCTGGGTTATTTTAAAGAGACATTGACCTTTAAAAATTGGAATTTTCATGAACAGTGGGACTTTTAGAGTTGTGCTATATTTTATATCACGATATTAATATTAACATGAGATCTTGGGGACAAGAAATGGAAAAATTATAGTTTAATAGTACAGTATTTGAGTGTTAAGTTGACAAGGAGTCAATTGTGCTTGATAGCTTCAGTTGTCAACTTGACACACCTGGGAAGAGGGAACTTCGGTTGGGGGATTTTCTCTATCAAATTGGCCTGTGTATATGTCTATGAGGCATTTTCTTGATCTTTCAGTGATGTGGGAGGGCCCAGCCCACAGCAGATGATTCCACCCCTGGACAGGTGGTTCTGGATTGTAAAAGAAAGACTAAACACAGACCAGAGGAGCAAGCCAAGCCAGTAAGCATCACTTTTCCATGGTCTGGTGCTTCAATTCCTGCCTCCAGGTTCTTACCCTGCTTAAGGTCCTGCCCTGGAGTCATTCAAGGATGAACTGTGATCAGGATGTATAAGCCAAATAGCCCCTCGCCCCACCCCCAAGTTGGTTTTGGTTTTGGTCAGAGTGTTTTATCATAGTGATAGAAAATAAATAGGTCAGAAGTCTATAAAAACAAAAATAATACTATGGCTATAAATGACTACGTATGTAAAATCATAGATAAATCTCTTGTAGGTCTTTAAACTTCATAGACTAAAGTATATAGAAGCAATTACTTCCTGAAACAGGGTGAAGAAGAAGGCTAGTGTTGGATTTGGCATCTTGATTGTTTACATAAATCTTTCACCCTCCAACTCCTGTGCTTTGGCACCCCTCCAGACCCCCTGCCCTCTCATAACAGTGTTTCTCCGGGCTTCCAGAACCCCTCCAGACCTCCCGCCCCTCTCATAACAGTGCTTCTCCAGGCTTCCAGAACACTTCCAGATCCCCCAATCCCTTCTTTCTAAACAATCTTAAATTTTCCCAGACTACAGACTTTCCCAATTCAACTAACCACCTTTAAAGTCACCCCTGGCTTCTTTGTTCCTGAGTTGTTCTTAGTCTCAGTTATGAAGCAAAGGCCATGCTTTGCATGCTGTTAGTGTTGCATTCAGAATCATCATAATGTTGAAATATTATTTTAAATGTTTACTGTTCATAACTCGGAAGAATTTAACATTTATTTTCATTTTGTTTGCCCATAAGGAACTTGAAGTCCTCTGCTGAAATGCAGAAATGGGGAAAATTGAAATTTCCCAGAACCTAAGAGACCATCAGGGTGATGACACACTTTGGAAAATAGCAGTCCTGAACCACCACATTATATTCTTTTCGGTTTTTATTAACTGCAGTACAGAGAAAAGAAGTCGAATTTGTGTTCCTTAGAGTGTTGATTTGACATCAACAGAAAAGAAAGATGAGTAAGTTCTGAGTCTTCTTGTCTCTTTTTCTCAGGGTAGGCTGAAAAACAAAAGGAGAAATAATGAGTTCTTTGAAAAATGGACTATGCTTTTAGAAATGCCAAGTTTCTTCAATTCTTATAGAAATTTTCACCAATGTAGACAACCTCAGGTTGGTCAAGACTTAGCTGAACTCCCCTTCTGTTGGGGAAGGGCAGAGCACACACTGATAAAAGTTATGGCTCCCCCTCCACTGTGTTTCCCATCAGAAGTCTCAAGTTTCAGGCAGAGGGCTCATCATTTCTCAGAGTTATTTCCACATTATCCCCTTATTATCCAATTTATTCCAAATAAAAATGACCTCAGAATGCTACATGAATAGTTTCCATTTAGGACTGAAATAAAAGATATTTTGAAATAATCATTTTTGAGGTTCTTGTTTCAATGCACAATAATTACATTTTATCATATAGGCAAACAACTTGCTTTTAACAAGTTATTTCATTTGTTATTCTATTTTTTAAATTCTCCTTCAAAATATTATAAAGAAAATCTGTCAACAGTCTTATGTTCAAATATCTGTCACAGTGAAGTGAATTTTATTCTTTAAAAAGGGAGACTTTGTCATAAGAAGAGAAATTCTATTAAAGCTTAACATGTTCACACATTGGAAATTTAGTAGCAGATTATCTGTTATAAAGCACAAGTTCACAAAAAATTATAGTTACCTGAGATGCTTATGATTACGATGTTTTTAAGCTAAAGCAGCTTGGCTTGAAGCAACAAGTTTTGGGCCCTGAACACAAAGAAATGACAGATGTTAGGAAAATATTGGCAAGACTATTAGAATTTCAAATTGTACTTACACCATTGTTGAAGATTACAAGATAAATTCACATGCCTCCCATCATTTAATTCCAATTTACTACTAGAACTTTTAAAAACAAAGCTCAATGCCATCTACTGTGCCCAGAAGAAGTTTAAAATTTATTGTTGAGCCATGGGAGGAAACATTAAATGATTCAGACATTTAATTGTAAGTTTCTCCCATTCATCTATGAAATCAATTAATTCAAAAAGCAGCATTTTCCAGGAAAATGTTTAAATAAGCTAATGGTTTGTTTTACTGATCAAAAGAGTTTAAGCCTTAGAATTATTTCTATCTATATTCATAAGAATCACAAACTTGGAACTAAATGGGCATCATAAATATTTAATATACCACAATGTGGCAAGAGATTTAAAAAATCAAGAACTGTGTAAGTCAGCTTGTATTGCAGTTATATACAGACTAAGATCTCTGCTGTTCACACCAGCCAGTATATGAATTCCTAAGCCCTAACTGGACAAAATGCATGAAATGGAACTTAAACATATCAAAATGAAAATGATTCCATTACTTCTGTAGCAAAACAGGCCTCCTTGTCGGCCTCTGCGCAGCACTTCTCCAGAAAATCAGCGAAGTCTTTCATAACTTTCTTAAGCTGCTCCTCTGTAGCCTTGGGCTTGTGCTTCACCAGCTCAGCAAGTGCACTGCATTTGGACAAAAGCAGAAATGGCAAAGAAACTCTTACTCTTGTGCAGGAAATGACATGGTAAAGATGGAGGGGCCATTATTGAAAATTACAAGTCTCAGACCCAGGCTGTTTGAGCATGTCACTGTCAGTCTCGATATTCTTGTCTGCATGGGAGAATAATAAAATTCACTTTGCTCTGGCTAGACCAAATGAATGAATCAGTGCAAATCACTCTGCCTTTTGCGTGGTTTCAAGAAAGCTCCAAAGAGCCTTAGGTCATTGCATTTACATATTATTCAGACTTTAGAATGTATGCCAAATTGAATTTATAACCAAGCTTTTTAAGTTGGTCCTTAAAATTGTAATTATATTGTACTTATGTAAAAAGTTTTTCATCTAAGAACCTTGGTATTTGCTCTTTAAAATTTGTCCTGTTCAAAGTTAGTAATTGGGCAGCTGTAAGAATTAAGACAATCCAAGCAAGGGGTGGCTGCTAGCTCTCTTTCATTGGTGTCTGTAGAGAGAACAGTACAAGGGAAAGAGCCAAGTGAGTTTTGGAAGTCTGGATCATGATTACAGGCCACCAAAGGTGATAACAACTTGTTACTAATTTTCATGCTATTCTAAAGCCTCATGAAGCAACAAGGAGTCAAGCCTCAAGATTTTCATTTCCAGGTGTTTCTTATCCAAGTCCCATTCTCAGAAGTCACTCCTGTGGGTTTGTCTTTCCTCTGGTGTCACCATGGAACAATTTTAAGATAATTATTCAGGCCTTAAAATAAATTCTCTTAGGAGTTCTACCATTAATTTTTCTATCTATATAAATTCACCAGTTAGTTGTTTAGTTTCTCTCTACTGAGCCTGGACTTGAGTTATATTCTTCTGTGGTTTTTATCCACAATAGTATTCTGAATTTATAGGCAAGATTTTAATGCTGGTTATTTTTTTCACTAAGAAAAAAAGCCATTCACTTTATTCTTGACAGTTTTTTTTTTCAATTCAATAAGGCCCACATTTAAATACTACCCTCAGAGGACTATAATCACTACATCAAAAAGGTTCTCATTTCAATTGACAGTTCTATCAACACTACAGACAAGCAGTAATAAAATGTTTCTCACAATTGTTTCTTTATCTGCTTCTCTTTCTCTGGAAGTGTGCACGTGTCAGCATGGAAGGTGAAGGTCTCAGCTTTGAACTCTTTGGGGACATATGCCTCATCAACTGACAGAGCAGAAAAGCATGGCCGCCTATCCACCAGAGATCCAGTGCAGCACTGGGTGACTCGCTCACTCACTGGGGTCTTCTCATGCAGCACACACACACGGTTCAGGATCATAGCCAGCTAAAGAATAGGCAGACGTTAGAAAATCTGCAAGTTTTCCTTGAATAGCTACTCTGCAATGCACCAAAAGAACTGTCATATTTAATTAGCAAGTTTGAACCCAAACTTGATTGACATGGTGATATAGCTATCTTTGAAATTAAACATGAGGAACTTCTAAAAGTTGTCTCTCCTTTAACTGAATATGAATGACCAAGTCTCGGCTGCCACTAATACACACACACACACACACACACACACACACACACACACACAGGCATGCACATTCCTGCTTCTGAAAGATTTTTCAATGTCTAATTACCAAAACACATGACTATTAACATTATTTTATTTTAAGATACTCACATAGTCTTCAACACAAGGCAATCTCTGTGCTTCAGGAAGTGAACAACATTTGGTGCCCACTTTTCCTAAGTGTCTTGCAGTTTCCACAAGAGTTGGAGTTGACACCTGAGGTGCTTTCTGGGTGTAACGAACTAAAAGCCTGTTCAAAAAATAACCTATGTGTTTTCATCCAGGCCGGAAACAATCTGATGCAATATAATTCAAGAAAACAAAATTTATCTGAAATCAACTAAAATGCTATATTCCATTGATCAAATTATCTTCACTTCCAGGAAGACAGCATAGTGTTGGAAGAAGACCTTGTCCTAAGCAACTAGCTAAATGTGGTTGTAAAAACTACCTGTACCATATGATCTTAAACTTAGATCTACACAGCAATCTTACAAAACTGAGTTATATTACTATAATTTAACAGCATTAGTAGGCTTATCGCTGCTTCCTTAAATAAACTGTCATGAAGTTATATTTATCGGCACTGCAATAAACTTAAGATACATAGGAGAAAATTGGAGGAAATATACCATTCATAAGGCTCTATGGACCTGGGATATTACTCCAGCAGGCTATTCTGTCTCTAACTCTTCTAGGAAGGAAATTCCAGAGGAAAGCAAGAGCATAGCTGCCAAAGTTTGGTTGTAACTCCCAAACAGCTAACCTTTTCCCAAGTGGATATTATTCATGTAATATTCACATATTATCTGAAACTTTTAAATTATATTTTGTGTTCAGCATTTAGACCACTTCTTGAGCATCTACTATTTAAAGCATTCTACTTCCTCCTCTGTAAAGTGCTGTACTATTTTATTTGCTCATACACTACACCTAACCTTCAAGGGACAGCCCCAGTTGCAATGTTCCAAGATTTGCTATGAACCCTCAGTGCCTGTATGCACCATCTCCAGAGATCACTTTTTTGGACTATACAATAATATGGGCCTCTCCATCCCATCAAATATTATCTCTTCTCCAGAATTTCTTGATTAAAAAGGAATAGAAGTCAATGATATATTTCCATTACTAAAAGCCACATACTAGGTGGCCTAAATATTGTTTTAAATAATTACAAATTAATCAAGGAAAAAAAAACAACTAGTAAAAAAAAAATACTCACGCATTTTGGAATTTGTACTCTCCAAGCGTCTCAAAAAGCTCACAGTTCTCTTTGACTAACTTTTTAGGCTCATCTACAAGAGGCTGGAACTCATCGAACTGTAACATAAAAGAATTGTGTTTGTGGCATCTCTCTTGAGAACCTGATGCAGGTCCTTTTTCACCTCTCTCTTCTTTCTGTCCAAAGCCATGTGACTAGATCTTCAACATCACATCACACTACATTTAAATTGCTTTTAATTGTCAGGCCACATGCTACAAGTAGGTAAGAATCTTCAGGCTCTGGAATTCAGTGGCTGCATTTGAACCAGGTTACCTGACTCGTTTTCTAGTTGTACATCTCTTCCCACAGCCAAGCTTCAGACTGCTCACCTCTACAAGGGAGATAAGGCAGGGCTTGCCCTTGAATTGTAAACTAAGTAGATGAAATTAAAATAGCACCTAGCAAACAATAGAAGTTCAGTAAATGATGGGTGTCATTAGACAACCTCTCTGAGGTCTCTAAGATGAGAAACCTTATGCTTATCCTCAGTTGCAATATGATGCCTGACATTCAGCAGTTTCTTTGTGAAAAACTATTGTCTTTTGATTCTAAATAGTTCAGAAACCATTACAGGCTGTTAGGAACCCTAATGTTCCCTAGAACAAACTTTTTAAAAACAATTTCTTGTAAAGCTATTCCAAAACCTTCTTTTAAATGTTTCAAAATATACTAAAGAAATAGATTTCACAAACTCCCTTGAAATATTAATTCTAGTAGCTGATAATTTGGGCACTGGTGTCAACCATCTTTAAATCTAAGTTGGATGTTTTGTTGACATTTAAATTAACTTTCTTACTTTATTCTCGGGAGTATGAAACAGAGAAAAATTAGGATCAATATTTTGTAAAAGTAAAAATTCTTCTCTTCATATCTTTCTTTTCCAGGGCAATGCATTGTTAGCCATTTTATTTAAGGTATTTTCCCTCTAATGTTTAAGAAGTTTAAGAGTTCACAACTAACTCCATCTCAAGAAAACATCTAAACCATACTCCATATCAATTCACATTTCTTCATCATTTTTCTTTCTTTCAGCACCAGCCGAGGCCCTGCAGTTTTCTGTCCCTGTGGAGACCCACCACTTTGCTGTAGCACGCATGAGGATCAGCTTCCGCACAGCACTTTTCCAGTGTGTTTTCATATTTCTTAGCAAGTCTCAGCAACAAGACAACAGAGTAATCAGGGTGTCTTCTTGAATTTTCATACAAAAATCTAATAGGATGATTGCAAATTGAGTTAATAGACAAGCAAGAAAAAAAATCACATAACTAACCTCAGTAGTGACTCGTATTCTAGATGTCTGGATTTAACTAAGCTCCACACCAGAAACTATGCACCAAAGGACTTGGGGTCCAGAGGTATTTAACTTTTCCTGAGTTCAACTTCTACCACTGCCACTTATTTTAGTGTTACAGCTTAGGCAAGTTATTAAAACTATCAGAGCATTAGTTTTCTCCTTGTAGAATAGGATAACAGCTCCCATTTCATACAATGAGTTAAGATAAATACACGGCACAGACTATCAAATCACACGCTCCCTAGCACATATTAGATATCTGAATAATAATGCCTGTTATTTTTAATGTATATTTAGCTTAGTTTGAACTATATCTCCAAAGTATCTTAACATGATTGAATAGAGATATAGACTTACATTTTCATTTTTCTTCTTGATATGAGTGAAATCTTGTAAGGTAAATAATTTTGTTAAATATTATTTATGCATAGAATACATTCATAATTCAATGATGAAAGGATAAAATCCATCACTGAAGTTGCTGAAAGCATATGATCATATGCTATTTGATTCCTGTCTTGCTGTATTGAAATTCAGGTCTTTTCAGTCAAATTCAACTAGAATCAAAATCATGTTTCTTCTTTTATATCCTTGCTGGCATCATACAGACGGGTAGTTATAGGTAGACAGATAAGCAAATGATAGTAAATTCATAAATTTTAGATATTTAAGAAATATGCTTGTAAGAATGATTAAGTGATACATACATTTTATATATTCATAGAATATTTACAAAGATAGCTTCAGAAATATCCCTAAGGAGTAAAGAACACGGAGTTTCTGCTGAGAGCCTGCATTATTCATGTCAGTATTTTAAGTTACTTGATTTTTTTCAGATGATCTTTAAAGACTAGGAGAAGCAAAGGTGAACAAATCTGAGAGCCATGGAATAGCTCCAAAGGAAAGCCAGGTATTTCTTGCTAAATTGTGATGCTCTGTAAAAGCTATGAAAGGAAAAGCATCTACTTACGAGCCCAGGAAGACATCTTTTGCCTCAGCATAGTTTTTGCAAACTTCCTTGTCCTCAACAAAATCAGCAGCCAATGGAGCCAGGTCGGCGGGCATGTCATCATTCTCTGACTCAGCAATGCAATGGGACTTCTGCAACACTGGCTTATCACAGCATTCCTGCAGTTTGCTGGAGATTGAAGCATGGTTTTCACAGATGTACTTGGCAAGGTCCGCCTGTGAGAAAGAAAAGAATGTATCACTAATGTCATTGCTATATGTTCTTCCCACACCTCCGTTATATGGGTAAAACACATTCATTGTGTTCTAAGGCCAATAGCAGCCTTCTCTAAACGCATTCTCACTCCGTGCTCTGGAGCTTGGAACTTAGATACCATGACTAAAGCATTTCAACTTGATTCCAAAAATACTATGCAGAAACAAGTTATTATTTGGTTACTTATTGAAATTAAATTAATAAAATTATTAAGTCTGTATTTCTATTACTGAGATACTTATGCCTCCCAAATTAAACACAGCCATTTTAAAACTAAAAAACATTAAATATGAGATATTATTTGAAAAATGAATGATCTTCACTGTTCTAGACCTTGTTTACATATTTAAATATCTGACTTAAAGTTTTCCAGGAGGTGTCATGATAGATGAGGATTCTGGTATTTGATCATATTTTCAGACTTTGAGGAAAAGAGGATAGAAGTACAACTTCGAGGAAAGAGAGAACATAAGTATTGTGTACCTAACTAAGGGAGAGACCACAGGGGTAGAACAGCATCCTTTGCTAAGATCTTTCCAGTCCCAGTTTTCTTCCCAAAACATCTTAGAAATTTTGTAACTGTTCTCTCTCAATTTAAGCCCTTCTTCTCAGAACAAAGGAGTTTCGGGTCATTTAATAATTCAGAAGACAGTTTTTTTTTAAAGTGACAAAAATGAAGGAAAGATTGGAAGAGCAAACAAGAAAGTAGAAAGCATGTCAACCACCATCAGTCACCAATGAAGCACATCCATTTCCTGAATCTGAGCACGTAATGACTCTTTACCCTGTCATCTGCACATTCAAGCAGGTCGCCATGACAGCACTCCTTGGTGACTTTGGTAAGGTCGTTTACTATCTTGGTAACTTCTGTAAAGTCAGCTTTGGGAAATTTCTGGCTCAGCCGAGCTACAGTCCTGAAAAGAAAATTTCACCATTAAAGAATTATTATCACATAATATTTTGTATGAGAGCAGTAGGAAGACACTATTTATAACAAGGAAATTCAAGACTGACTAAAATAAACACAAAAATTCACTACCTGTTGTAATGTTGGATCTGAACTAGTTTTTTCCTCTTGTTTTTTTTTTTTTTTTTTTCTTTTGTTATGTCCTGCAGATTTTTTCTTCCCTTTTGCAGGATAATCCACTGTAAGAGTACAGGGGTACATGGGAAGCTAACAGCTCATAAAATAAGAAATTGAAGCGGAATCCTCAAAGGGCAACTGTGCAAGATACATGGGCTTGAGTCCAGACCTGGCTCCTGTCTCTGGCTTAATCACTTCTTCCCAGTGTGGCTAGCAAACTTCAGCTTTCGTAGTGTCACAACATGCTAAGTCAAAGGACTCCATTAAATAATGCACATGAAATAATTTATCATTGGGAAATGGAATTTTATCATCTTTCTTCTTAATCGAAACATATTCTTTCTGAATTCTAAAGGTCTGTAAAAAAGAAATTTTGTAACTTCTACAGAATTAGGGTCTTTATCATGCATCCTTTTCCAAGAAATTGCTCCAGCACAGCCTCTAAACCCTATGACACGATGGAACAGGCTAACTTCTTGTTCTTTCTGAAATGATTTGAAACACCTAACTGTGATAAAGAGACTTCTCTCCAGGAACCAATCATAGTCTGTGTAATAGTATGCTGTTTCATGTTGGGATTGCTGTATTTATCAATTTGATTGGCTTTGCTAGATCAGATGGCAAGAGCAATGTGCAAAGAGGGTTCCACGGACAATTTCTAGAAACCATGTAGAACAGCTACCATTTTCATTTTTATTTCCTATTGTGTTGATTCGTTGGTGAGGTTCTGAAAGGACATGTGTATTTTTCTTGGCTCATGTATTAAAGGATGTTTCCAGAATCAGCTATATACTGTAAAAACAAAGAGAGACTCAAACAAAAACAAGAGATAAAGAGCAGAATTGGAGCTGTGAGAAAATTGGAAGTAATAATTCCAACTAGTCAATGGCTGGATTCAATTATCAGAATATAAGATAAATAGATATTTCAGATTGGGGGAAAAATTAGTTAAGTAGAAGTCACCCTGGTTGTGACTTTATTTTTTAAAGCTGTTCAAATAAAATCCCCAGTCTTTAGAAACAAATGGGATTATAAAATACATGTTGTGTTTAGAACAAAAATAAATGTCTTCTAAATTATTTTAGCAGTTTGGAAAAAATATAAGACAAAAATATCAAATTATTACTTATATTCTGATTTCACCTCTGTCAACCTTTCATCGTTTAGACAAACAAAAAATAAATTTGACAACAGCGTATAAAGTGCCATATGAATATACACTGTTGTGGGCTGATCAACTGTCACTATGTTATTATAAAGATACTATGTAACAAATATTTTACCATGCTTTGAAAGCTCTTTCTCCGAATTTCTGGAGGCTGGAGCACTTCATCCTCTGTTTAGCAGATGAAGTCAGTGCTTTCTCCTTTAGAGCATCAAGCTACAAAAGGGAAAGAATTAGAAATTTACTATACAAAATACCCCTGAAAGCTCAGATGATGCTATGCCAAATTAATTTGTTTTGCTGGAGGATTGAAACCAGGACTTTGTAGGAAAGCAGGCTATCACTGTCACATCTTCTATCCAAATTAAAACTGGATGGGGGTATCTTGGGGGACCTTTTGGGGTTTTTTGTTTTGTTTTGTTTTGTTTTTTGGAGATAGGGTCACCCTGTATCCCAGTTGGCCTGGAACTCGCTATATAGAGCAGGCTGGCCTGGATCTCACAGAGATCTACCCCTGCCTCTGCCTCTCTGGAGTGCTGGGATTAAAGAAATATGACACCACACCCAGCATCCAAATTAAAATTTAAAGAGATAATTTACACTTAAATTCATAAGCACTCTCTTAAGCAAATAATTATTTGTGCTACATAAGAAAAGAAAAAAATCAATGTGATCACAGTGAAGACCTTTAGGTGCTTAGAAAGTAGCAGGGAAAGGCCCTAAGGGGAAATGTGTGCTAATATCCAAGGGCATATAGTTTTGCTGACTTCTTAATTTTGTGTTTAATTCATCCCAATCCCTCCTCCCCAATTTGCATAAAATCAGTAAGTGCCACAGAAAAGCAAATGAATCGCATAATAAATATTTATGGGCAAAATGAATAAACTCCAACTTTTAGTCACAGTACGATTCTATGCTCTGAATTTCCTTTCCAGTTAGATGTCTCGTGGAAGAATTTGGAAAAAAAAAAAAAAAAAAAAAAAAAAACAAAAACACCCCTTGCTACACAATATGACAAAAGTTAATTCACTGCAGCAGTCACCACCATAAAAAGTGGTAAGATAATTAAATATACACACAGAAGTTCTCCCTGTGAGAGAAGCACTGCTAAGTCATAGAAGGAAGGGGATTTTTAAAGACCTTTTGTAGAGAGACTAAAAAAATCTACTGAGCACATAAAGAGAAAGAAAGGCTTTTCTGATCACGTAGAGAAGTTTCTATCAGAGATTTAGGTTTCCTAAATCCATCCAGACGACGGTCAAAATCCAAGGTTGTAATACAAACTGGTTCTTTTATCCTTCTTTTGAGAATTACCTTTGGTGTTATGCAGGCAGCTTTGTCAGCCTCGGCGCAGCATTTAGTCATGACATCTTGGTACTTCTCAGCATAGAAAAGAAGTTCTGGAGCATAGAAGTAAGGATGTCTTCTGGCAACTTCATGCACATAGCTAAGTTTCAAAAGGCAGAAAACAGCCAAACATTCTCCCATTGCACATAACATGACATAAATGATCAGAGTCAACCTAAACCTAAAGATTCGGAATTTACCAATTTGGTTCAATGTGTACCTGATGGCTTTATTCTTGTTGTTAAACTTTAAGTCAGAGGAAAAAAAGAAGACTAAATTTGTGTGTTTGAGTGCAAATACATACATGTATGAGCCATCTGTATATGGTTAAATTGGGTGATTAATGTTGCTGACTAAAATGAAATCAATCCAGAGAACACTTGCACATGTGTAAGTGTGTGTATGTGTCTTCAGAATATTTTTAAATTTGTCAGTCTCAGATTTCTCTTATAACATAGGTCATATCTAGTTTCAAGATCAAAAGATTTTGATTATTTTTTATGATGTGCAGAATTTTGTGGAACCAAATATTACTTCCTTAAAAATCATCACAGGGTCAAAACTTCCAAGTCTTGATGTTGACAATTTCTAGCATAAATCTTACTGATGGTTATTTCTTGCTTTTTCATTTGAAGTACAAACATCTGATTACTTACTGTCCCATAAATTGGGATTCATTTTCCAGGAAGGAGGCACACATAACATCAGCCTCAGCTCTCACAATTGGGGGCAGGTTGGGGCTGTCATCTTTGTGTTTCAGGAAGCATTCATTTCTTTCAGGTTCTTGTTTGGTACAACAGTCAGCCAGTTCACCATAGTGTTCACGAAGAGTTGGAATGGCGCATAACTTGTCTCCAAACAGAGTGTGCTAAGTGAGAAACAACAGCTGTCAAGTTACTGGGCTGCACCAGACACTCTGAATAGCCAGAGATCAGTGTAAAAAATTGAATACACTGATAAAATTTGGTTAAAAAAAATATACATTCTATGTTTATAAATAGATGATGAATACCTATATTGAAACACTACATGGCACCCCTGAAATATATGTGATTTTATGATTTTATATATTACTTAAAAATAAATTTAAGTTTGAGAAAAATTGTTAATAAAATAGTTTTTAAACCATGACAGAAAAGGAAATAATAGAAAAATTCCTTCCTAAGTTTACTTTCCTTTGATTTTGACTATTTCTGTATAATTTTCATGATAACCATCTACCACAGTATTATTTATCATAAATAATAAATAAAATAGAGAGGCAAAAAGAGAGCTACTGGCTATAAGGAATGTTTACTTATTTTCCTTCTGATAGTAAAGATTGGAGAGTAATCACAGTAACAAAAATCAAAGGAAAGTAGTCTTTGCAGTAGCAGATGAATTTGTATTCAAGAGCAAAGAGTTCACACGGTTTCTCATTTAATATGGTCTTTTTGAAGAGATCCAACATTTTAGTAGATACTGTATAAAACTGAGGAATTAATCTCTCTCTCATATATATATTATATATATATTATATATATTTCTGGAAACACTTCCCTCAAAGTACTTCATTCATTAAATAATTTCCTTCCTCGTTAGTTTTTACCATAAAAGTCATTTAACACCATGGAAAATATGCTCATCTAAACAGAATTCACTGTTTATCAAACATGTATGTTGAGGAATTCAGATGCAAAATCATAAGATTCTGTAAAACATTAGCCCTGCAATGAGGAAAATGGACATTCAGAGAGATGCAAAAAGCAATGGTCCAGTGATAAACAGAAAATAGCCTTGCCCCTATGTAGATTGAGGGGTCGGAGAAGCACAGGCCTCTTGTTTTAAAGACCTATTTGTAAAAAAACAAAGCTTCAAATTCTTCTAAATGACTGAGAACCCTGATTTTTTATTACATGTAAAAATATTAATATACATAAAATAGGAATACACTGTACTATTCTTTTATCCAGGGAATAAAATTACCATAGAAATCAACTGGTGAATTCTGATAAAAATCATGCTATTCTCTCAAGAAGATATTAGCATTCTTACACTCACTGTAGCATTCGTTGTTAATAGTCAAATGTGAAAATGACTTAAATATCCACCAGCAAAGGAATGAATAAGGAAAATGTGGGTGAATGGATTAAGAATGTGGTATATACATACAAAGGAATACTCTTCAGCCTTAACAAAGAAGAAAAGTCTGTAACTGATACCAACATAGATGAACTGTGAGGACATTTTGGTAAGTGCAAAAAACCAATGACAGAAAGACAAATTCTGTGTGAGTCCATTTACATGGGGTCCCTGAAACAGTCAAATTCACATAATCCAAGAGTAGAATTTTGCTTGCAGGAGGCTAAGGAAAGGAAGAACTAGAAAGTGATAATCAGGCATAAAATTTCTACAAAGTAAAACAACAAAATTCTGAAGATCTGCTGGATAATATTCTACCTACTGTCAACTAGAGTAAAAGGGCAGACCTAATATCAAGTATTCTTATCACAAAAAGTTAATAACTACATTAAAACAAACTATCACTACTAGCCTTTGCGAAAAGAAATCAAACAGGGTTTTGAAAGTAGATGATTATAAATAACAAATTGTCATGTAAAACATATGACTGCCGTATGTAGTCTCAGAAATTTGTTTAAAGCTATGGGTATAGCTACAGTATCTCTGGTAGCTTATGAATTTCATCATTTAATAATAAACTTTTTAAAAAAATAACAGTGACTTCTCCTTTGAAATACTCAGAATTGCTTACAAGAAGGAATCCTCAAAATCAGAATGTACTTACAAGTGATTTGTCACAGTTGGGAGCTGACTCGTCAGCAACACATGCTTTTGCAAAGTCAGCGACTTCGTGCACTAATTTCAGATGTTCTTCATACGGGCACTTCTGGAGATACTGAGCAAAGGTAATCAGGACTCTGAAAAAAAGACGTAGAATTAAAACTTCAACATAAAACAAGTTGTTACTCTAGACAGAAAATTGTATATGTGTATATAGTCTATATTTTATGTCTTTTTCCTACAACTATGTAGAAAACCTATTCCTATCAGATCTTCTCTGAGGCATAACCAGGAACATATGCCTTCACAGGCAAAAAGAATACACATTTCTACAAAGAGTCTGGGGGAGTGGTTAGTAGATATATGCACATAGGGCAAACTATTCTAGATAGATTTCATTGTCAAGGCTAGATATTATCTAAACCCTTGAGTTATTTTTAAAAATCCATATACCTCTTTTAATTAGGACATAGGATGATGTTTGCTTTTTAAAAATAAACTACTTTCGGGGGCTAGAGAGATGGCTCAGCAGTTAAGAGCACTGGCTGCTCTTACAGAGGCCCTGGATTTTGTTCCCAGCACCCACTTGGCAGCTAATGGTCTGTAACCTCAGTTTCAAGGTACCTGACACACTCTTCTGACCTCTGCGGACACTGCACAGCACAGGTGCACTTATACACATGCAGGCAATACACTCATAAGTATAAAAAAAAATAAATATTTTCAAAACCTTATTAATGGTAAAGCATTTGCCTAGCATGTGTAAGGCCTGGGGTTCCATCTCCAGTACTGCAAAAAGGAAAAAAAACACTATTCCCAAATTACCACAAGGCTGCTTGTTGTGTTAGGAGGAGTTAATAAGTGAGCTGTCCAAGAAACTCTATATTATAGTCCTTTATGCTGTGGCGAAGAATTATAAAGAGAAAAATAAAATTTAAGAGGTTCCAAGTTGAATGAGAGCTCCAGAATGTCGCTCATGGCAGTTATCAATCACACCTGATGAAACACGTTTAATTAAAATTATGTCACATTTGATTGTGTGCTTCTCAGTTATACTTGGCCATATTTCAAATACTCAGTAGCCACATGACTGCCATGTTTGTCCGCTCAGATGCAGACTATTTCCAGGAAAGCAGAAAGTTCCATTGAACAGCCCAGCTCTACAGTCTGAACACTGAAGGGAACAGAAGGACTTTAGAGCATAAACTAACAGTACCAGAAAAAAGATTTGATTCTTCAACGTTTTAACTTACAGGCCTTTGAAGTACTGTTCTCCCAAATCATTATACCGATGAGCAATCTCACTCTTGTCTGGAGACAGGGAGAGAAAACCAAAAAGTTTGTTCAAATTTTGAAGGAAATGACTAGTTATCACGCTACTTGTTACTTCTTTCCATTCACCTTAAAGTATTCTTTTGCACTAAGATATTGGCCTCTGATCACTACAGAAAAATCTTAGGATGATGACTGTTTCTTCCACATTTAAAGACGTGTTCAATCTCCCAGAATACTATTTTTTTTAATTCTTCAGTATTTATAGCTTTCCGCTCAAACTTAGATAAGATCTAATACTTTTGTAGTTTCTATAAGTAGCTGCTAAGACAATGGTGAAATAAAAATAAATACAAATGAAAGTTTCATTTATAATATTAACAGCACAAGTTTTTGTTTTTAAATAAAGTATGGTAGAATAGAAGGCCTTTGAGATCATGATGAGTTCTGTCTTCAGCTCTATTCTATGAAGTTTAACTCGCTCTACTTAGCATTCCTTCAACGTTAAAAGAAAAATAAAACTAAATCTAGAAGAAAATTCCCACCACTTTTGTCAAGATGTCTGAAATACATCAATAATATAACCACGTAAGGATTTGCAAATACAAAATACCACATTCTAGAAATATATGCTAAAAAGAAAAAGTAACTCTTAAACATGCAGTTTCCTGAAGCTTTCTTTTTACTAGGAAAGTAAAATAAGAGTTGAGCAGTGAAAACATAAAATTCTTACGTGCATCTCGACGAAACACACCCCTGGAATAAGCAGAGCCGGAGACGGAAAGGAGAAGGAGAAGGAAAGTTACCCACTTCATGGTGCCAGAGGCTGGTGGGGTTGATAGGAAAGGTGGGACGAGTGGAGAGGAGTCAGCACTAATATACTTCTTTCACCAATAATTGTAGCTCATTAACTAGACTCATCTTGTATTTGATTGGCTCCTAACTGATTACAAAATCATACCATTCTTGCCAAAAAGTTGTTTAACTAAATCCCTTGCGCATGTTTGCCATCTGGAACTGTTTTCCCACAAGACTTTGTCAATTCATTGAAGTTATGTAAAACATCTTATCAAATTTTACATAAGAGTTTAAATGATTTGTACCTATTATCCGTTACTGTGTTATCTGCTTTCCCCAGTTTGAACATTTCAGTTTGGAGCTTTGCATGGACCTATGACATTTTTAAAAAGCTAAGACCTGAATTGCAACTATTACTAATTCCAAGTATGCTTTTTCTATAGGCAATGAAAATTTCACACAGGGAAGGGGAAGAGAGATTGATGATAAGATTTCCATGTCTTTCTCGTTCCTTTGAAATTATAAATTATTTCTTCTGAAAAGCTCCCGTTGCCTAAAATGCAAATGTAGAAAATGTCACAGCAGTCATAACAATTGTGATGGATTTTCAGAAGTTCCAAGGTCCCATCCCTCTCTGGACTACGTGTGAAACAGGCCTGGGGATAGAATATTTTGATGCAATGTGAAGATCTCTCGTGATTTTTTTTTTTAGTAGAAAAAGCATTAGGAGAACATAGATCCAAATGATAGTGATGGCGATCTTCGCCACTGTAATACGCACAGACAGGTGGAGCCCTGATCACATCTCTGCAGGTTATGGAACCCCAGACCTTCACCAGGCACCAACTTCTTTCCATTCCCATTTCACACTTTTGTTTCCATTCTCCCTTTTAATAAATAGAAAAAGTAAATGTTATTCTTTAATTTTGCTTTGTTTTGAAATAAATTTAACATTGACTGAAAATAAGCAAAGATAATTTTAAATGTTTTTCGTCCTTCACTCTCCCAACCCAAAGACAGAGCTCTGCTCATTTTCCTTCTGTCCTTTTACTGAACATGAACTACTGCACTCAAACGAGAGGATATTTAACCTTGTCAGACATAATCGAATGATAATTAGAAGTAGGCCAGTTATTTCGTTTAACTAAATAACAGAGTTATTTAAGACTGTAGTTCAAGTTGCCCCAAAGCACCTGCAGGTACATGGACTGCTCGGTAGCAGGAGAAACATGTTTTTTCATATCTAGGCTTATAATGAAAGAACTATATTTTCTATGATGTCATTTTATCTCATGTCATCTTCAGGGAGGGGCACTAATTGTAAAATCAAACGCAGGAGAGAAAAAAAATAATAAATGTGAGAAACAGGTGTTTACTTACTTGTTTCATAAAGATTCAATGGAGTCCTGAAAGAAAATGCCAGACTTGTCTTTGAAGACACAGATAGACAGAAATAAAAGAATATCTGTATGTGGAATTATTGCCACTGAAAATAATTTAAGCCAAGAAACATATAGTGGTTAAGAATAAAAGGAAACTAAATAGAGAAGATTGTTCTATCTTCAATGAAGTATGAATTTTTCTTTAAACTTCCTAGAAAGAGTGGTCACAATTTATTTGATGTTAGGGTCAAGAGCAGCCTTTTCCTAGAATGAGTCCTGAGGTATAAGGAAGCATGCACTCCTGCCATTGATATATTTGTGTTACTAATTCATGAATTCAGGCTTTCATCACTCATACATATACTGTGTGCATAGTTTTTCCATTTGACAATTGAATAAACGATTATCAGTTTATCTACTTTGCATTACAATATTATATTGTAGTATAATCAGACATGCCAAAAGCTTAAAATATCAAATTCATTGTGATGGAATAGGAGCTTGAATTGATTTACTCTGTTTGATGAAGATCCAACAATTTTAAAACATAAATTGACAACACCTGAATCTTTCCTTCTCAGTACAATGTAAATACACAAGTTCAATGTTTTGTATGAGGGTATCCTAATTAATCATTAATAGTAGAGAAATTAAAATGTTTAATTCTTAACACTATGTGAACGCTTATAACTTATCTCAATTAAAAAGAAACATTCACATTTTGTGAATTCTCAAAGAATTTATACACTTTCTTCTGAAAACCCTG